GAGATGCAAGTAGTTCTTGATTACAGAAGAGCCGCTCTTATATGTATATGTAGGCGATGACTCCCGCGGGTAGTGACTGAACGTCGGTGTCATCAGTGGGAGCTCTATGATTGCGAAGGACTCATGATTTTGTTTGACTCAGACCGTACACAGTAGTGAGTAGAGTGGCTGATGAATGCACAGCAATATGGATGTAGGGACGAATGTAAAAACTGCCAAACCCAACATGTGATTCATATTGTGTGAAAAGAGATAAAAGATCGATTAGTATACAGAGTGGGTGTACTAAATTTTACGCAGCCTCATGTCTTGTGGCTCAGTCCTGATGAAGCTGCCTTTCTTCTCTCTTGCTTTTTCAGTATACGCTCCAGATGCCATTCTCCATTGAAACTGGGCGCCGTTGTAATTGCTTCCGGGGTCTTCCCCTTCTCTTGTTCCTCGCCGTCCCCTTCTTCTTTCAAGTACCCGTTCTGCATAAGGAAATGTAAAACTGAAGCTGGTCAATAATAGGCCATTCTTATGCACTAACTTGTAACTCACGATTAGCTGTACATCCAAATTTATCATTAAACGACACTTCGCCAGATTGGAAAATAATTTCCTCAAACCATCGTAAGTCTCTTCCAGTCTCTTCCTTTGCTATCACACCATCATTCGTGGCTTTTTGTAAGCCATGCTCCATACACTTTGCGCCGACAGATCCCGAGTTTTGAAATAGTCCATTTATTTTTGGTTTAGCACTTTGGAAAATGACGTAGTAGATAGAAAAAGACCCTGCATCTTCTTTGAACTCTTCGGAAGTATAGGGCCTTCCATATCCTAGCTGGCTTTGTGGTGGTGAAGAATACCAATTTGAAGCACCCGAATGCGGAGACGGTGGATTGAAATGACCCACGCCAGTAAACCCGGAGTTATGAAAATACGTTGGAAGTGTAGATGATCGCACCAGTGGATCTGGTGATGTCGTTTGTTGTTGGCTTGGCCCTGAATTTGGTGGCCACTCTTCGGATGGACTAGGTAACGCTTGCCGCATGTCCTGAGGGTATGTATCCATGGCAAAGAAATGGTTTAGTTTTACTGCAGCTTGTAACGAAGGGCAATATTGAGGATGCGATAGTATCAGCTATAATGTCGCGTTGGGAGTAGAGCAGTATCAAAGACAGAGCTATAATGTGAGGAGAAGCACAGCGGCAGATTCATACCCGGTTACTCATTCATTATGACTTTGTAGATGATTGGTCTTTCAGAAAGAGTCATAAGGCGTCGGACTATCTGACTTGAACACAACTACTGCGACTTTGTGTTTCGACATCAATGGACATCGCGTACCTTAGTCTCTGCAACACAGTTAAAAAATCAGTAGTAGGATAGTTAAATCCTAAGAATGCCTCTATGGGGTTGCAATTATGTAGATGGGTATCAGGTTAATGCTGGTAAGTCGTGTACAGTTTGTGAAATCAACTTCAAGGTGCGCTATCGCGACAGGCTCTAGCGCCTTGGCAGTCACCGTAGTGACCGTACCTTGCAGGCGGCCCTTGCATACCAACTCGCGACTCCTCCCGAGGTTGTCATCGCGATCCATCCACCTGCATCGCTGGCTACTCCCGCGGTTGTAGGTTCAAACGTTGGAGACTCATTTTTACCCCGCTCGGACCATAAGATGACGCGACACCACGCGACTTGTATATATGACCGAGCGACATAAAAGTGTCCGTGACCAGAACCCATCCCACCAGCACTAGGACCCAATATGTCTAAATCGGTGTCAAATCAACAGCAAGCACGGGTACAGAAAGTTTGCACCTTGTGGACGCATGATGACAACTTTTCGAGAGATGAGATCGTGTTCAACGGCGACAAGTTCCCTGAGCTCCCCACCGGTATTGGTTCCCTGCTCCAAATCGTGGCCATCCATACAGACAACGCTATACGCAATTTTCATGCAGGTCCTAAGAGCGCGCATGATGTGGCGTTTCACAAATTTGACACTTGGCCTAGCAGCAGCAATATCCACAGCCATTCGAGAAGACATCGTCGCGACTCAATAACAGTAACAATTGACGAGAATGGTTCGACTATTCCGGGCGGCCGCGATATCGACGCGGATAAGGCGTATGTCTTTGTACCCAAAGTGCTTCCCGCAGACCTCAAGTCAAAGTACCCAAATCTACAGGTAAGGAAGACCTCACATCGACATTCTCTAAAGCTAACATCGTCAAGGTCTCTATATCCGAAAGAATTGCCAAAGTATTCGGATTCCGCAACAGGATGCAAGTAGTGGTTACCGAGGCTGATGAAGATATGCACGAAGCTCACCATGTGGAAATTGTGTTCCGAGACCAGTATCTTGCGCGCGCGGATATGTGGCGTATGGCAACCTCCGAGCTTAGTAAACGCACCGTCTATCGTGGTCAGAGGCTACTGTTTATGGGTACTATCAAGGCGACGATCAAGCACATCTACATTAACGGCCAATCCGTACACTCCGGTTACTTCTCACCCAAGTCCAAACCCATATTTCGCAGCGAATCGGCACGATACACGCTGTTTATTCAGATGTCTAAGGAAATGTGGGACTTTGACACTGAAGGTGCTGGCGAGATCATGTTCAACAAAGTCGTGAGCGGCTTCCTCCCAGATCTGTTCAAAAGATGGCTGAGGATAAACGCACGGCACTTGGTCACTATCATCCTCTTCACACGAATGCAATACGACGGAGAACCTTTGGCAGATCGTCCGGAGGGAACAACAAGCAACAATCACTCCGAACCGCAGTCGGGTAGTTTCAGGGACTACTATCGCGTTGTCGTCAGTGACATGGCCAGTGGTGATTGGATCAATATCCTCTATCAGCTAAAGAAGGAGTTTAGGATGTTCCTAAAGGAAGTCTCTCTCGTCCGCAAGCCGGTGAGGCACGTAAATAATAGCGAGGAACTGGGGTCTGAGGGAGGAGCTACGTACACAGTCGTAGCTGGTAGACCATCCTCGGCAAGTCAGGGAAACATTCTTGAAGCTATCAACCTGGCCGCAGTTCAATTCGCGAAAGATTACATCGACCGCGACCTTGTCCGAACAGGAATCTCTGTCATCGTTGTCTCACCAGGCACTGGTGTCTTTGAGGTAGACTACAACATGCTCAAGTTGACTACAGATACTCTTATTGGATCGGGTATCGGCATCGATTTGGTGTGTCTATCACCAATGCCACTCCATTCTGTGCCTTTGTTCAAATACCGAACACCTAGGTCAGTGTCCGAACTAGAAGCTCAAGAGGAAAAGGATCAGTACCCTTCTGCCGGACCGTTACGTGCAGAGGAAGACAAAACGCCCCGTCAAAGCCAGCCAAATTTTGGCTCATTGTCACGTACTTCAGTCCTACGACATGTTCCAAAAGATGACTCCATAGATACATCTGACGGCTGGAGATTTGCGATGCCTTATTGGGTGGACATCTCCTTTTGGTCGGGCACATCTGAAGAGATTCTGGAACTTACAAAACCACGGAAGGCTGATAAGATCGTGAGAAAATCACGCAAGAAAGGCCGCATCTTTTCCCTGCGATGTCGCTTATACGAACTTCAAATGATGGGTGTGATGGAAAATGAGCTAGGAGACATTGCTATCCCCTACTTGGAGGAAGACCCAATGTATCCTCACCATCTACGAGAGCTGTTTGACCCAAACGAGGAGGGTCTACAAAGAGCACCGGTTGTCAAGCCTTCAGCGCCTGGAGCGGGTTCCTACTCGTCAAGAGGCGATAGAGAGTATACCGATGACCAGTTGGATGAAACCAGGGCTGCTCACAAAGCTTGGATGGAGGCGTACGATGGCGCCGTGTTCTCTACGCTCATGGAAAGGCGCTCTGCGAATCAGCTTCAGCTCCATCAGCGGATGCCAAGCGATCAGCTTTCGAGGGGATCTCCTGAGCAATCCAAGAGCTCACATCTGTCTACTTCTTTCCGCAGCATTAGTACGTCTCTGAGCAAAACAGGCCGCCCTCCTCCAGACACAAGCTTCCCGCAGCTCATGCGTGAAAAGTCGAGGGAAGTAGAGAGTCAGTCTCCGCGAGGGAGTACGTATCGTTTCGCGGACTACAAAAGCGAAGGGGCTCCTCGAGCCGATGTTCTGCAAAGACAAAAGGCCTTGGCAAGAAACAGCGTTAGTATTGACCGTCAATCTGGGCATAAAACAGGTGGATCTGGTGATTCTCAAGATTACCGAGGATTCATGAGGTCAACCCCCAGAGATTCTCCTGCTCCCAGCCGAAGATCCTCGCCTCCCAAGCGAGCAGGTCTTCCTATTGTCAGTGGCAAGGCAGCAGCGCCCGTCAATCCAGAGCTGAAGAGCAGACCTTCCAATTGGTTCTTGAGGCAGATCAGCTTTGGTGGGAAGGCAACACCAGCGCAGCCTACTCTAGGGGACGCCACCATTGACATCAGTCAAGGCAAGGTGAAACCCGCAATGTTGACTGTCGAAAAGAACCAAAAGGGCGCTATTGCTGAGAGGTTAGCCAGTACCCGTCATACCTCTGTTGAGAAAGCGTCGCAGCCGATCGCAATAAAGCCTGCGTCGCGCGCCGGTCCCTTGTCTGCGGAGTCACTAGCTTCTGACCATGCAGGCCGCTCAGTTGAGACTGTAAGGGGCATAACGTCCAGTAGACCTTCTATCACTTCCCAGCCCGGTTCAATTGTCCGAGATCCCGGGTCAACGTTTCTTCTTGCAGGAGCGCGAGGGACAGGAGACCATAAGCCGGACTTATCCTCCAGCGGAGGTGCGAGAGAAGCTCCACGAACCTTGTCTCCTACAAGCGCAATCGCGCCCTGGGCCGTCCTGGTCAATCCTTGCAACCCCAAGAAGAACGCCATCACGTCCAAAAACCAATATCGACGTTGGCACCATGTGTTCCCTAGGACTTTGAGAACTGGTACGGTAAAGTGGAGATCGCTGTGTTCGCCGGCCGCCGTACCGCTCACCCATGAGTGGTTCCCCTCTGTTGACCAGATCGCGACGGAATATAATGAGAGCCCATACAAGATTACGCAGAATGATGATGACGAGATTTTGGAAGCTCCGAAAAGCAGAGAGTCGCTCATAAGAGAGCTTATCGCATTTCGTCTCTCTCATGGGTTCCAAGTCATTGTTGGCTCGTCAGTCGCAGAGTTCTCAGGAAGACAAGAGAAGGCGCTTGCTAGTATACTTGCACCAGACTACATGTCTAACGACGGTGATACCGTTTTCATGAGTGTTGGGAATAATATTCACCAGTTGGTATGTGTAGCTGGAGGGGAAGTAGAGGTAAGACGATACAATCGGAAACCTACCACAGCGTTGGAGTCGTCTGCTGGAGTCGATACGCCCTTCTCGTACAGGCCCTACATTCGTACTGCATTCGAGAGTACTTACGACCCACGGGATATCATGTTGCGCCCACCCCGGAGGGAGTACAACTGGAATATCATTGATACATTCTTGGCGGGCTACCATGACGAGTTTTCTGAGGTCTTACGCTTTTGGAGGGCTCGATTTGTTCTGATCCCAGTCGATATACCCGCTGTGCACAGGCGGCCTTTCCCTATGCAGACAGAAGACTCCGAAGAGGAGATCCGACTAGAAGGTATTCGCAAGCTTACTCAGTTATGGCAGAAGTTCCGATTTATCACCCCCGAGGAGCGTTATTCCCAGCCCGCTTCTGCGTCGAAGCAGAAAGATCCAAACCCACTCGCTATCGAGTATCATACACGTGATCCTTCAGCAGTCGTAGCAGCAGGTCCAGATCACACGCTTCTTAGCGACACTGACAGCGAGTTTCAGACAGCTATCTTCTCCGATGCAGAAAAGTACCACAAGTCGAACATCGACATCAAGAAGCTCGCGGAGGATTTACAGGGTGACAAGGGCATTCAGATGCTTGATCGGAGATGGCATTTGAAACTTCATTACAACTGTTTCCTGGGCTTTGACCTGATCAATTGGCTGCTCTCAAACTTCAAGGACATCGAAACCCGAGACGAGGCAGTAGATTTCGGGAATGAACTCATGAGCAAGGGCCTCTTCCAGCACGTCCAGAGACGACATCAGTTCCGCGACGGCAATTTCTTCTTCCAGATTGCAGCGGAGTACAGAGCTCCCCGAAACGAATCTCGCACGGGATGGTTCGGCATGCGCAAGTCGGACAAGTCAGTACCTTCTACGCCGCTCTCAGAAGCGCCTCGCACGTCGCCTCTGCTGTCAAAGACTATCAAATCGCGACCTGATACTGCAGATTCTTCCTCTACAAGTTCTGGCTCACTAAGAGAGGGTGATAAAACACCGACACGTGCCGATGCTGCTAAACGACAAGTCGTCCTGTCGCGCGTTATGCGTTACGATGTTGATCCCAGGAAGCGTTCATATCGTCCTGAGATCATCTCTCTCCATTATGATCGCCTGCACAACCCCGACAACTGTTATCATATACGCATCGACTGGATGAACGTCACTGCGAAGCTAATCGAAGACGCTATCGTCACATGGGCCACAAGCGTAGAGAAGTATGGCTTGAAGCTAGTCGAGGTACCCATTGCCGAAGTATCGGACATTGTCGACACTCATCCCTTCCGATCGCCATATGTGATCAAGCTTGCTTTGCAGCCTCCTCAAGCTCAGCCAGAAACGATGTGGGATTCTACGAGCTTCTCCCCGCAATACATGAAAACAGATAAATTTGCATACCACAAAGCTCTGTTGCGGAGACTGAACTTTGTGCTGGATATGGAAGCAGCGAGTGCTTTTCCACCAGATATAGATGTTACGTACTCTTGGGGCAGTCCAGACTACAAGTATACGCAGTTCATCCATCGGAGTGGAGGAGTCCTGGCACAGATCACAGACGAGGGCGACTTTCTTCTGCTAGCAAACCGCCTGGCACACAACCGCGGCAAGGACAACAGCAGAATTCGACACGTAGATCCTTATGAGCATAAGAAAGCGACTACAGATGGCAGCCAAAGCAGCCGTTTGCCGTCTACACCGGCAGTGGAACGTGGCAACCCACATCGCAGCCCCTTCGCCAGCCCTCTAGCTCGACCAGTTCAAGACGCTAGTCTCCTACACACAGCACTTTCCTTCCACGACGTAAAGTCTTCAACTGCAACTACGCCGCCCCTTGTGCCAGCGGCTACGGTGACCCCCGAACAAGTCAAAGAGGAAGTTGAAGCGTTCTGCTCGAGTGCCTCTCTCCTTGCTACCTTCTACGCTGATGCCTTCCGCCACGCTCCATCGCCTTCACCACGCATTACACCAGTGTCAGAGGAGAAGATACCAAGTCTGGGGTTGCCACCGGCGATTTGGATTAGGGACGCTAGTCCGGCCACTGGCGGCTGGACGTTGAGTAGTACATTTGGAGGAACTAGCGGTATCGCTGGCCGTAGGCAGGGCAGCGAGGGAAGCATGTCAAACATGAGTAAGAGAGGCAGCATTGTAGAGGGCATGGACTTTGCTCCGAGACGGGATGGGAGTCTTGGAAGTGCCGGAGGGAGGAACATGGCACGCGATAGTGATGATAGGGCGTAGACATGAGCTGAGTCTCGACAATACTTATTTTGGGGAACTGGTGTTTGTATTGATAATTGGAAGTGTTTCAGCACGAGGTCGCATGTACTTGTTGCTATGAGAATTTTAAATGATGTTTATACCGCTCATGTGCTTTGCACATGGTGCGCTGGAAATGCACGTTCAGCTTCGTCTTGGAGTTCCATTCGGTTTTTTGGTCTGCTCAGCATGAGGGATTTGATCTTAGGTTTCGAACACTCTTACTTTTTTATTGGTTGCCTTATCTACGACTTTTGATATTCAATGGTAATGTTGCCAAAAGCATAAATTTTATTATCAGATGAGTTCTCCAAGCATTTTACTCGAAATAACCAGTTTTGTCGAATCGTGAGTATCGGTAGAGACGTCGGCTGCTTGACACTTCGGCCCGACTTCGGCCCACCTTGCGCAGAGCTTAGGTGTACCTTCGTAGCAGCTATGTTCGTAGAAGATCAATACCAATACCAGTCACCAGAAGAACCTCGTTGTTGTTATTCACCCGTACGATCGTACAAGGCCTACCAACACTGATCAGTGATTGCATGGCAGTCACAGACAGTTAGGTTAGAAGAGACAGATCCTATAACCCCGCGCGTTCCCTAGATCGCCTATATCAGCGGCGGAGTTATCTGTGCTAAGTTCACTGTTAGCTGTATCAGGCGTCTCATCCGGCTTGAGACCGACCGTTCCAGCCGTATCAGAGCGTTCCCAGACGCAGTCCATACACGCACCGACCCCCACTTGGTCGCGCCATTGACCCGTGTACAACCCACGACTACCGACGAGTCCCTGGCGAACGCAGCCAGCAAGGCACACGTCAACAATCTACGACAACCGACGTATCCCTGGCGAACGCAGCCAGCACGGCACGCGTCAACAACAAATGGCGAGCGAAACAGCAAGCAGTAATGGAGGCTGTACACTCACACGAGAGGAGTTGCTAGGGACCACAAACCTAAAGGCAAGAGAGTGGCGTCACATTGATCCAAAGATCTGGGACGATGAGATCGAAGCCCCAGACGACGAGGTAGACGGAACTGCAGCAACAACGTACATTGCGCGTGCGATCGCAGACTACACAGACCGGCCAACAGCAGACGCAGAGCTCTTTGGTGAGTTCTGTCAGGACTTTGAAGGCTGGACTGAAGCTATGTTTATGCGCGCGCATGCAACGTATACTAGGGAACTAAAGCGGATCCTCCGCTTTAAGGGCGTGTACACTGGCCGTGTTAACATGCCGCCAAGCGAAGCTGTGGCCAAGCTACTGCACAAGGAGGATTGTCCGAAGTGGCCGGACGATCAGTTCCAATCTACTGCCTTCGACGAGCGGTCAGCGGCGTATATGCTGCAACAGCGGAGGCTACTAGGACGACACACTACGGGATCGGTACAACCTACAAACGTAGGGACAGCGAGTCGAGCGCAGAGCCAAACCTCTGCAAGGGCAAGAGACCAAGACGCAGAGGATCAACAAACCGATGTCCAAGACGAGACCCGCACCCGTACCCAGGTCAGCCAACAACTAGCAGATCCGCTTGTAGAGACAATTGAACAGACACCACAGGCAGACGGGCGACACCAGGCGGACCAGCGACAGCAAAGTCATCAACCTCGCTTAACGTACAACAACTTTGACAGATTCCGCGAATACACGCCAGCATACCCACAACGCCCAAAGGGACCGAGCGTCCCTCCAATTATACCTTCAGGGGATACAGACCCATACAAGGCAGTTCCCCCAATCGAGTTTAATAATGGGAAACTAGATCCGAAGACAATCAATGTCTTTACAAAGATGTGGGATCGTGAGAAGAAATACACAGGGAAGCCGTACGACCTCCTAGACGACAAATTGAAGATCTTCTACAGCATCTGCTATCACGCAGACATCCAGCCAGACCAATTCCATGCAGTCTTTCCACGGATCCTGGAAGGCCGTGCGCAAGACTACTACCTCCACTTCGTTGATCAGCGGACAGATACATTCTTGACTGTATACACGAAGCTTAAGAACCACTTCGACACGGACGTCAACCACAGTCACTACTATGCAGACTGGACGACGACATCCTTTGCTAAAGTCCATAGGGAGAATCCTGACAAGACACTCCATGAGGTCCTTGACATTATGCTAGACAAACTCCAGTTATGCCAGAGGGCGCTTGGGCAGCAGTATATGGGAGAATATGCGCTCCGGACCACAGTAATCACAGCATGTCGAGGCGTTAAAGAGTTCGCAATGGCGCTCTACAGGCCGTCTCTAGAATGCGAGGTCCTATTTGGAGATCTACGATCTTCGATTGAAAACTCACTCGCTATGACTACCTCTGTCAACTTCACAGAGGTAGACCAAGGTAACCAGTACTACTTAGACCGCCGGTACAACAGCAATGGAAGAAACCGAGGTGGGTCCCGAGGCGGAACTAGAGGCGCATTTCAAAAAGGCGAACAAAGCTTTGACAGTAGCCGTGGATTCAAGCCACGCTGGAAGAAGAAGTGCTTTGTCTGCCAGAAGGAAGGATGCTGGTCCACAAACCACACAGACGAAGAGCGCAAGACTGCCCGTGCGCAGTTCTTCTCTATGCTGTATTTTACAGGTGCGCCACCACCCAAGGACTTCTCAGTACACCTTGCAGAGTACGAAGGAATTGAGCACACCAGCCAGTATAACCAGAGAGGCTGGAAAGAGGAGGAAGACTGCGAGGATGACGACAATGACGACGGCACTGGCGAACAACAATACTTTGAGCAGCAGTTCTTCAAGGAGCAATGCCTTGCAGACCAGGCGTTCTTGCATCACATTTCTGGCGACGACATATACGGTCGAGGCGCGCCGTCAGCACCAGCGTCGCAGTTTCTGCTCGAGGACCGCTATACACGATCTCTGTACCAAGGTATCCTCCCGGATACAGGCGCTGCCAACGTATCTACAGTTGGCAAAGAGCAGTATCTTGCACTCACACGAGAAGATCCAACAGTTAAGATAGACACATCTACAGCTGGGAAAGCATCTATCAAATTCGGAAAAGGCGAGGCTACAGCGTCTATTGGAACAGTGCAGGTCTCTACAGAGATTGGGAAGATCAACTTCGAAGTGCTCGAGGCGCCTACACCGTTCTTGCTGTGCCTTGCAGATATGGACCGCTTAAAAGTCTACTTCAATAACACTACAGATGAGCTTGTTCAGGACAAGATACGCATCCCTGTTCTACGCAAATGGGGACACCCATGGTTCCATCTCAACAAGAGAGAGAGAGCAACGGTGTTTCTCACTGAGACAGAGCTGAGACGGCTCCATCGCCGGTTTGGACACCCAGCTGTCACGCGACTAGTTAAACTCTTAAAGGACGCTGGCCATAACGACTTTGAAGAGAGAACCCTAGAGGAGGTCACTAAATTCTGCCACCACTGCCAGCTCCACAGCTCCGCGCCGCGCCGATTCAAATTCACTCTGAAGGATGATCACCACTTCAACTATGAGATCCTGGTGGATGTGATGTATCTCAGCGGCAAGCCAGTATTACATGTGGTTGATTCTTCAACTGCTTTCCAAGGCGCAAAATTCCTCAGCGCTATCTCAGCTAAGGAGACATGGCAGGCACTGCGGATGCTATGGATCGACACGTATCAAGGACCACCAGACATCATCACACATGATGCAGGCACCAACTTTGCAAGCGCAGAGTTCCGTGCTGAGGCAAAGATCATGGGAGTTACATGCAAGCAGGTGCCTACAGAGGCTCACTGGTCGGTGGGCAAGACTGAGAGATACCACGCACCACTTCGCCGAGCATGGGATATACTCCATGACGAGCTCCAAGACGATATGTCTGATGAAGCGATCCTTCAAATGGCCGTGAAAGCTGTCAATGACACCGCTGGACCCGATGGTCTAGTCCCGACTCTACTAGTCTTTGGAGCATACCCACGAATGACTACAGAGTCGCCGCCGGCACCTTCAATGGTTAGGCGCAGCGAGGCTATTCAAAAGGCGACGAAAGCCCTGCGCAAGCTTACTGCAGAGCGCCAAGTTGCAGACGCCTTGAACACCCGCAATGGACCAGCCACTGCAGACATGCTCGCGCTCCCACTCCAGAGTGAAGTCTTAGTATGGAGAGAGAGTGATGGCTGGAATGGCCCGTACAAGATCGCCAGTATAGACGGCCACAACGTTACTGTCGATATGGTCAATGGTCCAACAACATTCAGATCTACTGTCGTCAAGCCATACTACAGACCGGACCATCTTTGGAGCGACCCCGATGCGCCACACGCGCTGAATGAGCCGCATGAGCCGGTAGCAGTACCACCGGCAGTGCAACCACGCAAGAGAGGCCGCCCTCCAGGATCAAAGAACAAGCGGAAGGGGCACGCGTACATCACCAAGAAGGAGCAGGACGATCTTGAGCTAGCTATCAAGCTACGTAACGATGGGAGTTATCACAACACCAGGCGCACCCTTTGAAGCATCTGATGACCAAGAGATCAGCGACCTCGTAGGGTCGTGGAGTCTTCAAGTTTGAGCAATACGACGAGAGGCTACACAGCAAGATCCGGATCTTCAAGTCACGCCTGGTACGTGAGGTCAAGGGAAAGACAACCAAGCCCTATGAGAAATCCCGCCTGGTTATCCAAGGCTACCAGGACCACGGCAAAGAGGCTATCTTGACGCAATCTCCAACCATCCAGCGATGCAGCCAGCGCCTGATCATGTCGCTGGCGCCCGAGATGGTACAACGCGGAATGAACATAGAGCTCCGTGATATCACGCAGGCGTATCCCCAGGCGCAGACAACCCTGAAGAGGACGATACTCGCACATCTTCCTACTGAGCTGGTACCACGATATCCGAGGGGCACGCTACTCCATGTGATCAAGCCACTGTATGGAATCGCAGAGGCAGGAGTCCACTGGTGGACAACCTATCATGGGCACCATTGCAAGGAACTGGACATGGCAACATCTACGTACGACCCATGCCTGTTAATCACAAACAGCGACACCAGCATCTTCGGCATCGTTGGCATGCAAACAGATGACACTCTCATGCTTGGGACACCCGCGTTCTCGTTACTTGAAGAGAAAAAGATCCAGAAGGCAGAGTTTAGATCGAAACCAAAGTCTGTCCTTACACCAGAAATTCAATTGGATTTTAATGGATGTACACTCACGATCGACGCTAGCAAACCAATTCTGAACCTTAGGCAGAAAGGACAAGGAGGAAAGATCAAACTTGTGGACGTTAGGGCACCCGACCGCGCGCAACAGTACACAGAGCAGCGCGCCCGCGGAGCGTACATCGCATCAACATGCCAACCAGAGGCGTCATTCGATCTGTCCGTCGCCGCTCAGGCGCAGCAACCATCAGATGAGGACATCAAGGCACTCAACAAGCGCCTGAAGTGGCAGATAGAGAACCTCGATCGTGGCCTCCGTTACATCACTGTCAATCTCACGGAGGCTAAGTTGATGGTCTTCGTAGACGGCTCCTTTGCCAACAACAAGGACCTCAGCTCACAGCTCGGCTTTGTCCTCATGCTCGTCAACGAGTCTATTGACGCTAACACCTTCACAATCCAAGGCAACATAATCCACTACAGCTCTACAAAATGTAAGCGCGTCACAAGGAGCGTACTAGCCTCTGAGATTTATGGCATGGTCAACGGCTTTGATATAGGCATCGCTATTGCCACTACCTTAAGAATAGTCACAGAACGACTTAGAATACCTGAGGTTCCCTTGGTTGTCTGTACAGACTCGTACTCCTTGTACGAGTGCCTCGTTAAGCTTGGAACAACGAAGGAGAAGCGTCTTATGATCGACATCATGGCGCTGCGTCAATCATATGAGCGTCGCGAGATCACTGAGATCCGCTGGATCAATGGTGACGATAATCCTGCTGACGCCTTCACGAAGGCATCGCCAAACCGCGCTCTTGAACGCTTTATTGACGGCAACAAGCTGACAGTCCGAGTAGATGGATGGGTGCAGAGGCCGACAAGCTTTGATGTTTGATGCTACACACACTGTCACTACCGATACAAGCAGAGTTACTAGCTATCCAGAAAGAAAAGACTTCCAATGTCGAATCGTGAGTATCGGTAGAGACGTCGGCTGCTTGACACTTCGGCCCGACTTCGGCCCACCTTGCGCAGAGCTTAGGTGTACCTTCGTAGCAGCTATGTTCGTAGAAGATCAATACCAATACCAGTCACCAGAAGAACCTCGTTGTTGTTATTCACCCGTACGATCGTACAAGGCCTACCAACAAGTTTTGGAATACAATGTAAATTTTCAAGAAGGGCCAGGAAGGAAAGAGGGGAGAAGCAGAGTAGAGGTATATATTTTCTATGTCCCTATATGCCTATAATGATGTAGAATGTGTTGTGATTTTCCAGAACATTGAGCTTTCTCAAGACGGTTTTCAAGCAGAGCAACATACGTGAGATAAAGAAGCGTTTTAGGAAGTAATAGAGAGGAAGAAAATGGGAGAGATAGAGAGTGAGTAAAGAGACATATTTCCACAGCCCCAAATGCCTAGAGTTGTTGTACAATTTGTGTATTTTCTAAGAACGTTCCGTTATTCGAAGCCTGTTTTCAAGCAGAGCAACATGTGGGCGCGGATATTGTGTTTTCTAAACAGAACAGCACATACGGGGAATGGCTAAGTTTTTAAGAAGACATAGCCGGATTTTGTATGCATTTCTGGTATTTTCAAGTAAGTTGCGGTATGTTTTGGAAAAAGTAGTAGTGTAGGAGAAAGCTTTCAGGTTCTGGAAAAGACGGTAGATTTTATGGTTGGACCGCCGCCGCAGACATGGGTCCGTCCATGGACTTTTTTGAAACATTTGCTTGCAATTGCATTCTTTTGGTTATTTCGAGCGCGGCTATGATGCAGTAATGTAGGAGAGTAGGTTCGGCTGCTGGAACAGAGAGTAGGAGTTTTATAGTAAGACCGATAGGGCGGATATTTCGGAGATCACTAACTCTTTGATACATTGATCATCGTAATCTTCATTTTGAGTATTTTCCACGCAACGAACATGTAGTAAAGAACAAGAGGTTTCCAAGTTCTGGAAAAAGATGGGAGGTTTTATCGGGGCAGGCACCGGCGCCGCAGACATCAATGCGTAGTTGACTCGCTTTGAAACATATGAGCAGTATGTATGTGTTTTGTACTTTCAGCGCGATAGAGAGGTGGTATTTTAGGAGGTTTCCAAGCTCTGGGAAAGACGGTAAATTTTTAGAGTAGCATTGGAGCGGTAGACATGAGGGATACAGCTTGCAGATTTTTGAGCAAGTTAAGCGGTGTGTAGGCTTTAGGTATTTCTATCGCGACGAGGAAGAAGGACTATAGGAGGTTTCCAGGTTGTAGAAAAGACGGTAAATTTTATAGCTCACCGTTGGAACAGACATTTGGGTCTTGCTCGTCTCTTTTGGCACACATGCAATCTTGTTTCAACTTTTTTAGAATTTTTAGCACGCGCTGATTATTTCGTATGAAAAGAAAAGAGTTATAGAAGAAAAGGTGAGTTTTATAGTACTACCGACGCCGCCGAACCTCCGGGACACAGCTAGGATTTGTGGCAGCACCGAGGCAGCAGAACATCCAGAAAGCGCCCAGGAATTTTGGCATGCATCAACAGGGTCAACATTTTGACAATCTCCAGCGCGCCGGACATTCAATGAGATTTTTGTAATTTTGGGTTCTTAGTTCTTTCCGCATATTACACGTTGCTCTTCCTGATTTTTAGTGAAAGAGTGAAGTGAGATTTCTTCAAGAAAGGTGGAAAGAAGAAGAGGAGCACAAAGGTGCTGGTCATGTAGCGTATGTCTAGTATTTTCGAGGTTTCCACTCTCCTCCACACATATATCTTTCGTTCGGGTCGTTTTAGTAGAGGAACACAGTAGTAGGTGGTATGAAGAAGGTAGAAGGAACAAGAGGCTTTAAATACAAGTCAGGCGCTAGTGGTCGGACATTCATTTAGTTGGCGTGTTGACGTTTAAGAATTTTGGAATGTCTAGAAGATGTTTTTGCAGATATGTGAAATTGTCTCTGTGAGCATACTGCCCCATAAGATGAAGGTTCTCTTTTTTTATCTCCCTGTAGTCACTGCTGTACTGATTTTCGATGAAAGAAAAAGTAAAGCCTTTTAGTTAGGTAATTTTGGAAAATCCGGAATCCTCTCACACATAGGGGCTTTCGCCACCATTTTCTGCTACACGGGTTTCTCGGTGGAATAACCCAATTTTTAATGCTAGAAGTCCAGACTCGAACCAACCATCGGAGTGCTGACCTTACCATTTTGAAAAAAAGAAAAAGAAAGAGAGGGGAAAGGTCTTTTATATACGCACAATCGCGGACGCGCAGAGATGCTAGCATATGCAGTCTCCACGGGCTGCACATAAGCGCCTTTCATTGCTTTTTTCTTTCCGTTTTTCTGTCATAAACATGACGACAGGACCAGAATAAAGTCATCCGTCACATTTCTCCACATTTTAAGAATGAAAATAGAAATGAAAACACCAGATCTGCCCATGAGCCTGTTGCTTAAGAGTTTGTGTCGAGACGCGGTGAGAGCCTTCACTAGTATTCACGGTGAATCAGGCTTCCCGTGCTCTGATTGGCCAGGCACTGATTAGTCAGCTGCTCCGTGCGCGCACCATAGATA